GCAGATGGGAGTGATTAAGCAAATCATGGGCTTGATTATGGCGTATAAGATGAATCCACGGAACAAATTAAAGGCAGCAGGATGTATCGTATTGTTTGATCATTATGGTAGTGTAAAGAACGAATAAACATAGGCTAGCGGCAGAGGTACAACGTACGTAGCTTTCCTTTTCTCGTTAATCGATCAACAGTACTTCATTCTGTTTGTACAGAATTGCAGATGCATAAAAGCTCCTTAAGAACGGCGAAAATGAGTGGATTAGTGGTCCTCTTCGATCGGCTTTACTACACCCTTTACACTATATAACGCCATGATGTGATTTCAATCTTTTGATTTACATTTATTTAGGGTTGGGTTCTTAAATCTAAACCTTTTTCTTTTATTCCCTCAAAACCTAATGATTATGTCATATTGAAATTTCTTTGCACCCCATGAGTTCGGTATGCCCTGCTCAATGCCTTCCGTTTGAAGGGTAGAGAAAAAAATATGGACAAACCAGGGTGACATATAGTGAAAATGACATATTCATAGGTCTTGATTTAGGTTTATACACCAAATTAGGTTTGATTCTCTTACACAGGTTTGATCCTAGTGAGCAGGAAAAGTTGTAGAAAGAATTAAATGGAACTACAAGTTGTACCGAGTTTAAAACAACTTACTATTGAGTATGAAGTTTATTATTTAAATTGGAATGGACATTGAACAAAAAATATGACTGATTCATGGTTCAATTGTTACTCGTTATAGACTCGTTAGTTAATTATTTAAATCTCTGTTTATACTTGTAAATGAGTATATATATATATAAGATTTAGGATAGTGTATGTCTGGCGTACGCTACTCTACCGTACACGATACACCCATTGAGTTTTGCTATTTATATTATGAATTAACTCGAGTGTGAGACATGATATTGAATCATGAACCTTAGCGGGTTAGATCAGGTCCTTAAGCCCTCTTTCTTAAGGAAGATCTTAAACCCCTTCCAGCCAATAGGAGAAGGAGAGAGAAAATGATTAGTAATCATTGGATAACTACCTACCTAATACGTTAAAGGGTAAGACTGGAATATACAAAATATTTAATGATATCATTAATTAAAATATAAATTGAGGAAACCCACGCAAACGTGAAATCAAATTGATTTTTGGGAATCAAATTGATTCCCGCCTTTTCGTCTCGCTGACCTGCCATAACCGTCCACCGTCAAGCCGCGTTTCCCCGTGTCGCCTCGTTTCTCGTCGTCGCACAGCCACTTCCTTTCGTAAGCGTCGGCAGCCGTCATCATTGGTCGGCGTCACGACAATAACACGAATCTTCCACCGACTCCATGGAATCGCCAAAAGGCCTTTATATTTGGTAAGTTTTTGTATTTCGTTTTTATATTGTATCGTGTATATTGGGATTCCATTGTAGACTCTGAAATGGATGATTAATAATTTGAAAATGGATGATTAACAACAACGACACTATTTGTAAGTAACTAAGGGTTTGATAAGGTTACAAAATGAATAATCGGTGTGACCCGTAAAAGTGGAGGTGTTTTAATAACTCGAAAAGGATTGATTAATAATAACATCATTAGTTGTTAATATTTGAAAGTAATAAGTTAAGAAGTAACTTTGAATGTATAACTTCAACGCCGTTGTGGATTAATAATTCAAAATGGGATGATTAATAAGAACGGCATTATTTGTTAATAATTAAAACTTTCATATGGTTAGAAAATGAATGAGGGGTCTAAACATCACCGTAGAGGTGTTTAAATAACTCAGGAAGGGTGATTAATAATAATTGCATTAAATGTTAATAATTAAAGGTATTAAGTTACTAATTAACGTTGTATGTAAAGCTTCGACGTTGTTGTGGACTAATTAATAATTCAAAAAGTGACGATTAATAAGAACTTAAGTATTTGTTGATAATTACAGGTTAGTATGGGTTTTAAAATTAATCACCGATATGGAAATCAACGTCGTGGAGTTTTAATTAATCGACTAGCGATGATTATTAATAATTGAATTAGTTGTTAATAATTGAAGCTAATAAGTTAATAATTAACTTGCCATGTAAAGCTGCAACGTCATGGTGTTTTAATAACGAGAGCAGGGGATATTAATAATGATATTATCATTGGTTAATAATCAATATTAAAAAGATAATGTTAATTGAAGGCCATGCCATAATAGTGGTTTATTTCTTCAACATTGTAGATCTCAATGAAGTACCCTGTGATGTCAGCTTGGAAGGTGAAGATATTGCCAAGAACGCTGATGCAAGCGAAGATGAGAATCATGAGATTACACTAGATAATGCATATGTAGAAGGTGAAGGTGAGTTGTTTGATCTTGTATATACGTAGATTGATATAAACTCGTGCTGGTGGCGTGATATGTGCGTTGTTGTAGGAGTTGGGATGATGGAGATCTGAATGATGCTAGTTCTGTACCAGTCGTGCGCGTTGCCTGCGATCGTGATTTTCATATTGATAACATGGGTAAGTCCAATTGATAGCAATCATCCTATTAACAAGGCAAAGAATGTGCATCATTACTAACCAAATGATTTTTAATTCGTGTAGCGATTGAAAATCAGTCTATTCCTTCCCGACGTAAGCAGATGCTGCAATGGCCGTCAAGCGCTTCCTCGTCTGCTGTCAACGGTTCCTCCTACTGCGAACATGCCAGTCCTCTCGTGGCTGAGCAAACGACACCGATATGGAATACACAATACCTTTTGCATTTGCGTTTGGCTGTTAACATGTTATTGACGTTGGTGGCAAAACTGAAATTGTTATCACTTTAATGACATGTTAATAACGGGGTTAAATATTTTGAAAGTGTAGTGTATACATGGTAATATGTTATAAACGTTGGTGGAAAACCAGCAGACTGAAGGGTCATCTAATTTTCATAGTGTGGTAGATGTCGGTTAATAAATACAATACTATGGTTAATAACGGGGTTAAATATTTTGAAAGTGTAGTGTATACATATTAATATGTTATAAACGTTGGTGGAAAACCAGCAGACTGAAGGGTCATCTAATTTTCATAGTGTGGTAGATGTCGGTTAATAAATACAATACTATGGTTAATAATATTAGCGCTATCTGTTAATAATGTATGATAATATTTGTTAACAATGGGTTGAATATTATTAAAATTGTAACTTTAATTTGTTAATAATGGTACGGAAATATTGACACAAATAAAGTGAATATTGTCGTAGCTTTTTGTGTTTGACGATGTGGTTGGAAATTTTTACGATCGTTGCTATAAAATGTTGATGACTTTGTTGATAACGATATATATACTAAACACTACAAATCTTAAGGAAATACCTTGTAATGAAAACTTGGAGGGGCAAGATACGTTAAAAATTGATAATGTCATTGAAAGTCTTTGATAATGACCTTAAAAATATTAATAATGGGTAACAATACATTAGTAATGAACACAGATTGGTAATATAACATGACTAAAAAAAACTTAATAATCACGTTAAAAATATTAATAATAGCTGAGAAAATGTTAAAAATGGAAACAGATAGATAATACTACAAGTTAATTAAGGAGATAGATTAATGATACCACACTATTAATAATGCTGACAATTATAAATTAATAATAGTACACGCTATCTCAGCTGATAGATTAATAATAGCACACCACTAAAAATTGATAATGAGTAATGACGTCGAACATATTACTAGTGGGTGAAGAAACGTTAATAATGAACAAAGATTGTTAATACTACACGTTAATTCAGCCAACAAATTAATGATAGCACACTATCAAAAAAATTGAACATGACTTAAAAAATATTAATAATGGACAAAGAAACGTTAATAATGAACAAAGATCGATAATAATAGCCCATGCTCAATAATAAAACGTCAAATCCTGCACGATTGACGATAACACTTCAAAATATTAAAAATCATTATAAACTAAATTGATAATTTACTTATTATTAGTTAATTAATTCTAATTACCAACAAATTGATTAAACAATTACAAAGGAACCATAACAAAGTTAATAATGCAACATAACATAATTAAAAAAACCGATCAGATAACACACAGTACAACCAAAAAATCACCTATCAACAAAAATCCAACACCCATGCACCAAAAAAACCCAAATTCCTTGTAATCAAGGAAAAACCCTAAAGTACAAAACACAAAATGGTGCGAACATAACATTCTGATACAAATCAGGCGAAGACAACAGGATCGACGCCCGAAGGGAGCAACACCCGGCCGCCACTGTTGACAGAACGAGCCGACGATCTGTGCAGGCCACTGTTGAAGGACGACGACGTCAAACGACAGGAACGATGGAGCGATGTCGGAAGTCGGACCGACGGCTCTGCGGACAGAGAGAACTAGTTGGCTCAGCTGCTGAGATAACTCGACGGCAAGCTGGGCATAGTTGAGGGCGAGACAGAAATTGAGGAGCCGACGGCGGAGACCGCTACCGGAAACCGAAGGAACGGCCGGAGAAAAGTGATTGAAGAAAACATTGAGATGGAACGTGGGTTTGGAGATTAGTAGGGTTAATTATTTGAGTAGGGACGTGGGTTTATAAATTAGCAGGTTTAATTATTTAATATTATTTATAGTTCCCTAAATACCCCTAACAACCATTAACTAATAACTCCTCACTAACTACTTAAAACTACAATAACCAATCACAATGCTTTAAGATCCTCTTTAAAAAAGAGGGTTTAAGGACCTGAATTTAGGCCGGCCTGAACCTTAGTCTCTAATAATTCTCTAAACAAAACTATAAGATTAATTTAATCTACAAATAATAATCGGTAATTTTGATTCATCAAATCTACAAAATCCTATAAGCGAATGTCAAAATAGAGCATATGCCACGTCACCCTTTGCTGAAAGCGCCGCACACTTCGGAGGGGTTTTATTGTCATTCTAAACCTTCTCCTCTTCAATTTTTCTCTTCTGATCCGTCCCCACTCCCCAGTCGCTTATGGTCTTTTCCCCCGGTAACCACCACGATTCATTGCTTCTTTCTCCGTCGCCTATAATTCTTTTCTCCTTCTCCCCCATCGCAGCACGCTGGTCGCCTCCACTCTTACTTACGCCAGAGTAGTCCAACAACCACTTTATCTTAGCGGCGCTCAACTCCTTGCATCCAACTTCCGTCGGCTCCTGCTCCGTGGTCTACTCGATCAGATTGCTCTGGTGGTTCGTGACCCAGGTAGTATCAGTAACAGTTGCAGCGGCAGCCACTTGAGATTGAATCAACTCCGAGGACTCATGTAGCGCCAATCCTCACCCCGCCTTTTGTAATCGGCCCCAATTGCGGAGAGGAGTAATCGGGACGCCAAGCATTGAATCTGATGCGGATTTGCCTAGGGTTTCAGGGGAAGCAGCGTACAATCTAAAGAGTCAGAGATGCTTAAAAGACTAGGACTTTGCATGTTAGAGTTGTGTTTCTAAGTTCTATAGAATTTGGATGCGTATGAGATTCTTTATAACCGTTGTGTTTCTTAGCATATATGATTGAGGGCTCTCTCGAAGCTTTGCTTTATTCTATTGTTGTTGTAAAAGTCATTGAATCTCTTGATTGAAATCTGGGTACAGGAAAGGGGCATCAACCTCGGTGAAGATTTTGATGGAGATGAGAAGGCGAGGTATTCTTCAAGCATGAGAGGCAGGGACGTAGATGATTCCAATGCTTTGGTTGTTTACAATTTTCCATTTATGTTTTGTTGGTGGGGTTCTTCAAAGTTGGGGTGTAGCACTGTGTGGTATTCTTCTGGTTGGGGCTTACATTTCCCCATTCTCATTACCAGGTTGGATTTAGGATTGCTATTGGCCCGATTTTTTGCGTTTAGGATTTGTATGGGCTGGCTGTTTAGCTTTCAATCTAGGAGAAGCTGAGGGTTAGAGTGAGTCTAGAGGATTAGAGTGAATAGGCTTGGATCACTTAAAAGTATCATGCACTAGAAGAAGCAAATGGAAATCGGCGGCGACATTTCAGCTCCTGATTTTGTCAAAGTGGCCAAGGCTACTTGGATTTCTTATGGGTCTCACTGTCCTGGGACTTGAGCTTCTAGAGAGGCTGACCATTCTTGAGGAAACCATGATGGGAACCAGTTAGCTTCCAATTAAGGAGAATCACTATCTGACGTATTCGAAATCTTGGCTGGTCTGCTGGATGAGGGGTCAAGATTTGTCAAGACCGCTACTTTGACTATGCAGGTTCTAATGACATCAAGAATCTTCCTATGTGTAAAGAACCCTACAAGGATCTTGATGAGGCAGATGAGGAGAAAGATTATGACTGCGGCGAAGAAGACGAGGAGGAAGATCAAACTCTATCGCTGTCCAAAGATTTCCATTGCTCAGCTGAATGATTTCGAAACCATGGAGGCACACACTGTAAGGGTTTTTTCCTTTTTAACTGGCAGCCTTATTGCCTGTCTAATTTTCCAAATATAAATTTTTTTACTGAATTCCAAGAATAAGTGTTTGTGATCGAAGGAAAAGTGATTCAAGTATGCCCTAATTGTTGCTACATGGGGGGCGTTGTATTTCCTTGCAAGGTGGAAGAGGATCCAGAAGAGTACTTTTGTGGACACTATAAGACCACATCTTCCATTGCTAAAGCCAAGTAAGTTCAAAATCGGAATCTTGCTTTGTGTGTTATTTGAAATTAGGATGTTAATTGATGATAGGGAGTTTGCTGCATTTGATTCCTTTTCTCTAGAATTAGAGTGAAGCTCCAAGTGCAAGATGATACTAGAGAAGCTGATTTTGCCACTTTAGATCATGAAGGTGTGCGCTTTTTCAGAGTGATGGCTGATGTATTATTCCAGTCAAATCAACGAAACAAAGAACTCATTCCATTGCACATCCAATAAGTTGTTAACATGACACTAAAGCTTCATGTTCGCCTCACTCAATTCAATTTCTTGAATCCTCAAGCTGAGAATAATGTGGTTAACGTTGATCATGACCCTCTACAGGTAATTGATTCTGCAAATAATGCAATTTACCTAAAGGGTACCAGATAATTTTTGTGGTTTTCGGCTCTTTGATTTTCTCTAATTTGATTGCAGCAACTGACTAAGATTCTTGAGCATGGGAGCCTTGGAGGATCAACCTCTTGCGGGTTGAAAAGAAAGCATGCTGATGCCGCTGACCCTGTGGAGTAATACTATTGCTGTAGATTTTGTGACCTTAAGAGCCACAACTTGCAGCTTCTACTTAGTATTCTGTTTTCATTTAGTTTGAGCTTGAGACTCTGTTTCTAGGTTGTTTCCTTATATATTGTATTTTTTCTTTAGTGTCAACTGTGGAATACAGTAGTGTTGTTTGGCTGCAGCCTTTTCTCATTTGTTTAATAGTTTTTTCCTTATGAGATGTCATCTTTTCCAATCTCAAGGTTAATTGAGCCCTCCAAAATCATTTTCAGGTTTAATGGAGTATGAATATAGCTTTGTATGCTATGACTGATATAATGCTTATCAAAAGCTTTGCTTTTGTGGCTGTGTTTATTATTATACAAAGACATTAGGAATTTGATCTTGAAAATAATATGGATATGTTCTGTTGATGAAGTCAAGTCTGTGTATAACTTTAATCAGCATCTATTTGAATTTCCTTTTTCAATGATGCTGCAATGTTTCGGCATATTGCTTCAGGACGTGTTTCAAGTTATGTTTCAGTTTTAGTTTTCTGGATTTCTTTCTGAATTTGCTATGTTACCCAACTTCTATGCCTTTCAACATGATGCATTATAGAGATTAATCATCTGAATTATGAACGTTCAAATTGCTTGAATCGTATTGCTGGAGTATTTTATAATTACCCGGCCAACGGGCCGGGCCCGATGCTAGTATATTAAAGTGCAAATAATAACTGTGTGCGCAGAGGTATATCATACGACAAACGTATACTGGTTGGGTGGCCTGATCTTGTATTGTTCTAATTAAAATTTTCATTGTTGTTCCATTTTATTGTTGTGGTTCTTTTGTTTTTCTTTCATGATTTACTGCTACTTATGCGGCAAACATATACTTGTTTCCAATAAATTGTAGATTACATCGAAAAAGTCGTGAGGGTATCTAAACTTTTGTTGATGAGAAGAAAAAAAATTAAATAGCTCGTGGGATAGGTGGAAGTTTTCAACTAATTTTCTTCATTTTAGTAATTTATATTTTCTCTTTAACTTAAGTTGTGTTAGAATACATGTAATCGTTAACATATTGATTGAATTTATAAAAAAAATTATTAACCATGGATAACCATGAATACACGAAACTCACTTGCGTATGGATATGATTTTGATATTGTACCTGATTCTTGAGTAGATATTAATATAAGTAAAACGCGAACTATTTTGAATAGGTAATGGATATGTACTATCCACCCTAACCCAATCCGTGACCATCTCTAGATATGTTTTGTAATTAGCAAAAAGTCAACCCAGGTGTTTTTCCAGTTTGTATGGATTGTCGGTCTAGTTTGTTATTTTTGTCCACTACCGGGTTGACTTTGGGACGGAGCCCTCTATATAGGGATGGAGCCTCCAAAGTCAACCCGGTTGTTTTTTCTTTTTTGTAAGGTTTGCATTGTTTGTCGGTCTAGTTTGTATTGTTTGTACAGTTCATACGTCTGTAATGTTTGTAAATCTGTTTGTATGTTTTGTCGTTGTAGTTTGTATTGTTCGTATGTTTGTATGGTTTGTACTGATTGTAAGTCTGGTTTGTATACTTCGTAATTTTCCAAAATATCCAAAATACCCTTGTCATTGATAAATAGCGCTTCCCACTTTTTAACCGTCAAATTACTATGTCCGAATCTAAGGATTGAGAGGGGCTAAGTCAAATGACTAAGCACCCCTAGTCACAGGATCTGGACTCCTAATAGCAAGACTCAATTTACCGATGTTGACCCAACCAATCCATGGCCTAACCACCTCATCCGTCTTCTATAAGAAGTATGAACCCGCATGAAGCACTTATTTCTCTTGCGGAACTTTCATGTGAAAAGTTATAGAGTTAATACCGTTGTTTGGCCCAAAGTTTGACATAATTGTCAATTTTGACCCGATTTTTCCAATAAGACATTTATGGCCTACTTTTGAAATTATTAGACAAATTTGGCTCATAATTTTCTTTGACTGTTAATATTAACGGTCAAATACTATTCCGTTAGTGACTCAACAAAAACGACTGATGTGGCATGCCACATCATTAAATAATATTAATTTATTTTTATAATTTAATTAAAATTAAAAATTAAAAAATCCCCTCTCTTCCGCCTCCTCCTTCGTCAATCAAAGTGCTCAATTTCTCCAGCAACATGTTCACCAACTCAGGCAAGCTCTCCGGTTTCCCCAATCTCGAAAGTCGAAACCCTCGACCTCTCTCGCAATGCGATAGGGTACTTGCCTCTCAGATTAGCAAACTTGTCCAAGCTACAGGTTCTCAACATGTCCGATTGTGGGATCTACAGCGACATCAATGACGGAAGTAGTCTCGTGTTCCGGCTGTAGGATCTCCGACGACATCAACGGCGGAGGTATGCTTTCGGGAAATATGCTTTCATCAATGACGGAAGTTGTCTCGTTTTCAATTCCTCCAAAACTCCGATTATCCCTAAAAACCTCAACTCCAACACCAATCAAACCCAAACCCTAACCAACCACCACCATCACCAAAATCGAACCCAATCCACGCAACACAAGATTCAGAAACCCGAAGCCCGCCAACAAGAAGGAAACCATACGGAAATCAAGGAAGCGTCGAGAGGTAATCAGCGCCGCCGCTTCATCAGCACTAGCTCTCGTCCTCCTATCCTCTGCCGCGATCTGGCTGCTCTGTTTTTACAAGAGGAGGAAACTCGCGGGTCAGCTGAGTAGATGGGCGATCTCGAAGCCGGTCCAGTACCCCTACAAGAAGGAGGAGACGGAGACCGGGACATCGTGGGTGGCGGAAATGGGGGTCGTTCAACTTGGAGACGGAGACCGGGACATCGTGGGTGGCGAACATCAAGGAGGCGATTGAAGGAGGAGGCGGAAGAAATTCAACACTTTGATTGACGAAGGAGGAGGCAGTAGGGATGGGATTTTTTATTTTAATTGAATTAAAATTAATTATTATTATTTGACGTGCATGCCACATCAGTCATTTTTTGCTGAGTCACTAACGGAATAGTGTTTGACCGTCAATATTAACGGTCAAAGAAAATTATGGAGCAGATTTGTCCAATAATTTCAAAAGTATGCCATAAATGTCTTATTGAAAAAATTGAGCCAAAACTGACACTTGCGCCAAATTTTGGGCCAAACTAAGGTATTAACCCAAAGTTATAACACAAAATTTTATTTCCAAAATAACAAAAACGAGATCAATCTCTTCATTGTACGATTCTTAGACAAATTCGTAACTAAAACCTTTTTTACTCCATAAAATTAAACTTGCTATAAACGCAAATCACTAGCGGAACTTAGGGATAGCAATGGGTCGGGTCCCGGGACGGATAGTGCATATCAGTTACCCTACCAAAGTAGTTCGGGTTTTACCCATACCCACATAAGAAACGGGTAGAAAATCCAAACCATACCCATACCTATTCGGGTTTATGGTATCCATGGTTATCCATGGGTAATAGTTTCTCTTTACAACTCCAACCAATATGTTAATATTTAAATGTATTCTTACGTTACGTAAGACAAAAAATACGACAATAATTCATTAGAATGAAGAAAATTAATTAAAACAACACAATTTCATAAAAATATTATATTTATATGCTAGATATAAAATATGTTAGAGAAAAACATTGATTATTTCTAGACAAAATACATATACAAGTGTATAATCGGGCGGGTTTGGGTTGGATAGTGAGAAAACCATGCCCACCCATTACCTGGAACATTCGGGTTCGGATTTAACCCGTACCCACTAAAAGTCCTTCGGGTTCGAGTTTTACCCTACCCGATTAGGTCGGATTTGGACGGATATCCACAATTACGGATATTTTTGTCATCCCAAGCTGAACTAGTCAATATAAACCGTTTACACCGGCTCAAGATAGGGTGCATAACCATGGGTTATGCACCCATCAATAACCAAATCTGGACCCTTCATTTTGAAAATCCAGATCTAAGGATGGAGAATTAAAGGCTATTTTTATTTTCACTAGCTTTCTTAATTGACTCATATCTTTTTCGTTTTAACTCGGATTTTAATTTTTTTTGCACAGATGGAACGAGTTCACCGTGCTCTACAAAATGAGATCAATTTTCAATATTTTTTGAGGAAAAAAAATTATGGCCTCTCGGTACCAATTGCATACCATATGGTATCTTCTTCGTTTTTAATTCGTTTTTTAAAAGGTTTGCACAGCAGGGACGAGTTCATCATGATCTACTGGATCTACAAATTTCTGGGTGAACAAATTACAGGACCAAAAAATACCACACAATACCATATAATACCACCCTGGTACGGGGTGGTATTGTATGGTATCTTCTTCGTTTTTAATTCGTTTTTGAAAACGTTTGCACAGAAGGGACGAGTTCATCATGATCTATTGGATCTACAAATTTCTGGGTGAACAAATTACATGACCAAAAAATACCACACAATACCATACAATACCACCCTGGTACGGGGTGGTATTGTGTGGTATACAATGTTAAAAGTCGTAAATTACAATTAATATACTTCAACTATCATGTATTCAACCATCCTACAGTATTGGTTTGTTCATACCACCATGGTACGTTTTTCAAAACATAGGTATGCTTTTATTTCAATACCAGTCAATACCATATGGTATAGGCTGGTAAAAAATGGCTCAATTTTTTTTGTTCGAAAAATATATTAAAGTGGATATCATTTTGAAGAGCACAATTAATCTGATCTAACTGTGCAAAAAAAATTAAATTTCGACTTAAAATGAGCGAGAAATCATCCGTCAAAGATTAAAGAGGAAAAAATTAAAGGCTTTTTATGAGAGAGGATGCTGATGTGGACGGGTTACTATAAGGTTACTCACCTGATCCATTCCCGTTTACACCAGACAATTTAGGACTAGCAACTCATCAAACTGTCGCTATATTCTCACGTTTTTTTTTTTGACGAAATATTTTTCAGACACTGATAGAGATATCATTCAACATATATCTCATTGATTGACATAAAAAATAGACTCCCAATCTCCCATTAAGAAACAAACTTATAAATGGGTTTCATATATGTTTATACAGTACTATCTCATTAATCACCGATCACAAGTAGTAACCGACTTGTAATTCCAGAAATTGGAAAGGAAGGAAAAAATAATACTACTATTGTCCACGTGTCAAAGACCCAATACCTCTGGAGATGTCAGGAACCGCCGCCGGATTGAATCCCAGGCAGCCCAGCAGCCCCTGTTTATACGGCAGAAACGTCTTCCGCTTCATCTCCTCTGCCGCCGCTCTGTTCATTGTGTAATGCATCTCGTGCGGCGACACCGCCTGCCCGCCTCTCAACAGCCGCGAGCTCCCGAAGCTCTCCGTCGATCGGAAGCTGCAAGTCTTCGCATCATCTGCCGCCGCCGGCGACGACGACAGCGACTCCCTCCTCGACAGCACCGCGTATTTCGCCGCCGCCAACTGCTCCGCCCTTGTCGCCCTCCCTTCCGACGCGCTTCTGAACAAAAGGAAGTCCCTCAGCTTCCATTTCTTGTACCGCCCCTTGGAGAACGAAATCGCCGACAGAAAAGTCGCCGCATAGGACTGCTTCTCGCCTCCGGCGACGGCGGCGGGCCCAGTCGAAGACGCTGCGCCAAAGATTCTCGAAGCCGGGTTGAATTCGGAGCTGTAGTCATCCTGATCCAACATTACGTCGGCGATTCGCATCGGCGACAGCGACCTGCTGCTCCCACGGCGACCGGGAAAAGAGTCGAAATTGGAATTAGATCCGATCACTCTCCGTTCTCTTCCCCGTTGGTCAAGCCCTGCCTTGGCATCTCGCTTCCGAGTCTCCTCAATCGCTGCCGGAAAAGGATCGATAACTCTGTTTTTCGCGGATCGCGGCGATCTCGGGGACCGTGGAGAATTGGCGGAGGATGCGACTCCCGAATCGTACCCGGGTGGGGGTTTCAACGGCCGGATCTTACCGCCGTCGAAGAGCTCGTCGGCGGCGGATAACGAGCTCCTGGCCAATTGACCGCTGAAATCGAATTCAAAATCGTAATCGTCGTCAAAAAAGTCGGTGCTCTTGGCTCGGATACTGGCTCGCTTGGGTGTCCCGGGCTTTTCTTCCCACATGAAAGGAACGGCGGAGGAGGAGTCGTCGTCGACGGCGGCGGCGATGGAGAGGGCCATGGAATCGTCGATGTCGCGGAGGAAGGATTTGGCGTTGGGGCTGGTGGGGGCGCTGAAGAAGAAGTTGGTGCCGAAACGCTGAGGGCTGGAAGGAGCGGTGATGTAAGGGGAAGAGCAGGAGCTATCGAAGTTGAATTCCGGCGAGGACGGTGCCGGAACCGGCATTACCACACCCACTTCCATGGTTTGCCGGTGGGTTGGTTGATTACTGAAGTAGCCTTGAGGCGGCCCTGGTGGAGGGAAGGAATGGCGGAGAAATTTGGTTGGGGAAATTGGAAGAGATTATTTATGGAGAGAAAATGGCGGTGGGGAAATTAGGAAGGAAGAAGGAGAGGAGGAAAATTAGGGGCGGGGGCTCTTGAGTCAGTGGGAGTGGCGGATACGGCTGTTTTTAAGCCGCCTATTTTCAATTTTCTTTTCATAACAAAGAGCTCATGTTATTTTTGGCCCCTTAATTATGTGAGGTTTTCAATAGTGATCTCTAAACTAAAACCCCCCCAATCTGACCATTTAATCCTGCATTAGTGCATTTCCATTACATAGTATATTACATTACTACTATTGTTGGGTAGGTTCGGGGTCTTGCCTAGTGCTTAGGACGTCTAGGCGGTGTCTAGGCATTTTTACTAATCATAACAATTTTACTTATGGTGATGGTGAATAGTAAGAGAGAAGGTTGGGTCAACCCAAATTAGATACTAACGAGAGAGGAACTGAAGTAGTACGTATGGCGACATGGTTTTGGTTATTTAACGATCAACGATGGTGAATAATAGGACAAAGCATGGGGTCGACCAAAGCTAGAGAGGAGGAGCACTGCAGTGGGCATGGGAGAAGTCGTTACAATTCAAACAGCTTTGTTGACTATTTTTTTATATTCTGATCGAGGAAGGAGGAATGGCATGTGAAGGACATGTGGTTGGAAGAACTAGTCGAACATAAAGATGTCGTCATTTTGGGAAGTTTTATACGTTGATTTATTATATATTATTTATCTTTAGTCACTAGGCCGCCTAGCGCCGATTAATCACGCTTAACTTCACCTAGACGGTGACTAGACAGAGTAAGACGATACCTAAGCGTTTGAACATCTAATGGTTTGCCTAGAGTTAGCTAGGCAAAGTGTTTTGTCCCTGGTTGGAGTCTTCCAAGATTATCTTCAGAAATAAGATCGATACCCTACCTCTGAGATCTAAGAGCGGACTGATGATGGTGCGTTCGATTTCCTTTAGGATGTTGGTCGTAGGGCTCCGATGGGGTGACTGACTTTGAACTTTTCCAATTTTGCTAGAAAGTTGCATAAAATAAGAATGATTTATGGCTAAATTACACATTTGGTCACTCTAATTACATAAACATTTCACGTTTGCCACCCAAATTAATTTTCTTTCAATGTAACCACTCACTTTACGAATCGTTTCACCGTTGGTCACCCTCCGTTAGTCTCCGTCAGACTCCGATAACGCCGTCATATTTTTTATGACGTGGCAAACGGAAGTGCTGACTGGGCTGACAGAGAGGCTAAAAAATACGGCTTTGACTGCCTAGTCAGCCACATACCCGATCCAGCAATTTAATTGACCCATTTTTTTGTATTTCTTTTTTCTTTTTCTTTTATTTTTATTGAAAAAAGCTTTACTTTTAGTGTGAAAGCGATCGGGCAGTAAAAGGAAGGGGTTTGTCCTTCTCTCTTCTCTGCGTTTTTCACCCGAGGCGGCGAAGTCGATCTCGATCAGGGGAGAAGGGGAGACGCCGGTCGGACAGGTCCGACTAGGACAGAGAAAGGAGTTTCCGGGCAGGGGAGGTGGAGGTAAGGCCGCCGCAGTGGAGGCGCTCGATCGGGCGGCGATGAAGTATCTCGATCAGACGGGGAGTAGCAGGTAAGCCGCCGAATCTTCTAACCTTCTCCATCCTTTTCGTTCCTTTCTTCCTTTACTCTTCTTATCGTACCCAATCTAAAACCCTAAAAATTTCCCAATATGAAATTGACAGAAACCCTAAACCTTACCTTCTGATTCGCTTTGTGGTGGTTGCTCGACAAAAAGACAGATGCAAGGTGCTTTTGGGACAGACGCAAAGGTGCTTACTGTTAGTTCCCTTTTGGCCCTTTTTATGATAGTCATGCGAAGTGTTGAAAGGGGAAAAGTTAGAAAATGATAAAAGTTATTGACTGTGGGGATTTTGCTGTCGTTTTCCAGGTTGTTTGTCACGTTTGGCGAGCAATATGGGGGGACATTTGCGGCAACCAGATGCTCCCATCCCTATATATCGTAAGTGTAGTCACTTTCTCATCTTTATGGGTGGAGCGTGTGTATAGTAGTTGTTTATTAGGTTGACAACAACATAGGTAGTTAACATGCTGGTGGATGGCCTTTATTGCTAGTACGTACTACTGCTTGGAGGCATGATTCTTTTTTCTGACCTTTTTCTTTTTCTTTTTCAAATAAATAGGTGATTGTAGTGGAGAATTCAGCTTTGAAGTTCATGTTGATTATCAAATCAAAAAGAAGAGAGGGAAGCATTATATGCAGGATGAGACTATTGTGTACTATGACCACGCTGATATCGATCTACTCTCCATTCTGGACTAGGTAGACATCTACAAGGAGTGTGGTGGGAAGATTCTGAAACCAAAGTTTTATTGGAAAGCTCTTCTTGATGAATCAATGACAGAGATTACCAGAGATGAAGACTTATTGGAAATGGTCGGAGCAGCTAATGAACCTCCCAGGATCATTGAACTTTATGCTATGGCTGAGCATGAAGTTCTGGACTTTATGGATAGTGATGATGAAGAAGATGCAACTCCACTTGAAGAAAAGGAAGTAACAGTAGGCGATGATGGAGATAGTGACAGTGATTATGAAGGAGAGGATGAAGATAGTGACTTTGAGGGCGATTCTGAGTCGGATATTAGCATTGGTGATGATATAAACTATGAGAAGAATGTGAATTTAGACGTAGAGGCTGAAATGGGGATGTTTGGTGGAGGAGATGACGGCCTTGGTGATGCAGAAGTGGACGAAGAGGAGTCTGATCCTGTAGACTCAGATGATCGTAGATCTATCCATAGTTCGGATTCCGAATCTGATGTTGCAATTGTTCTAGATTTCCGGGTAGATCGAGACATGGAGAAGCCAACCTTTGCTATTTCTCAAAAATTCAGCAGCTTTGGTGTGTTGAAGGATGCACTCAAGCAATATTCTTTCATTGAGAAACAACCAATATTCTTCAAACGAAGTGATGGTAAGAGGCTGCAAGTGATGTGCGAGGCACCATGTGATTGGTACATATGGGCATCCAAGTTGAGAGATGAAGATGCTGTGAAGATCACTAGGTGCAAACTTGAGCACACAGCAGATTGCACCTTAACCTTCAACAATAGGTTTGCAACATACAAGTTCTTGGGGGATAAAATGACTAAGAAGGTGGCAGCAGATCACAGTATGAGTAAGAAGTTGTTGAAGCAAATTGTGAAGGAAGATTATAGGGAGGAGATTAGGGATATGAAGGCATGGAGAATCAAGAAGACAACAATTGAGAAGGTCCGTGGATCTATTAGGGACCAATACAAAAGCTTATATCATTATGATGCAGAGTTGAGGAGGAGCAACCCAAACTCCACTGTTGTAGTTGAGCAACGAGAACAAGTGTTCAATCGCATGTATGTATGCTTTGATGCATCAATGAAAGGTTTTAGAGCTGGCTGCAGGCAAGTCATATGCATCGATGGATTCTTCCTCAAGCATGATTATGGTGGCCAGCTGCTATCTGGCGTTGGTATTGATGCGAACGAGCAATATTTTCCCATCGCATTTGCTCATGTTGAGGTGGAGAACAAGGATAATTGGCTTTGGTTCCTGCAGCTTTTGGGAACCGATTTGCATATTAATGATAATCCTGGATGGACATTCATTTCTGACAAGCAAAAAGTGCATTTTTTACTCATTCTTGCTGCCTTAAATTTATTTGCTGCTGCTGTAAATTATTTGTTTTTGTTGACAAGCTGCTGTAAAATAAACATTGGTGTTAACTATTGCTGTAATTTTCATTCTGAAGGGTCTAATGCCAGCACTAGATGAGGTGTTTCCCTCTAGTGAGAAGCGTCATTGTACCAGGCATCTTGTGACCAATCTAAGTGTTGCATGTGGATCATCAGCGAGGGTTAAGGAGCTATTCTGGGAAGCAGTTAGAGCCACCACTGTCTCTGAATTTCAAGTTGCTATGAGAAGCCTGTCGGATTACAACAAGCCCTCTTATGATTGGCTTGTCGACAAGCCATACTACCATTGGTCCAGGTCGCATTTTCAGTGTCTCGTTTTAACATATATGGACACGAACAACCTGGTTGAGAGCTGGAATAATGTCATCGTCGATGAGAGGGATATGGGTCCTGTTGGCATGTGGGAAGGGATTAGGAGGAGGCTGATGGTGCTATATGCCAAAAGACGACGTATAGTCAACAAGTGGGTTGGTCCTTTGTGTAAAAACATTGAGAAGAATTTGCAAAAACTAGGACAAGAAGCCCTTAAGTGGTGTGCTGAATCAAACGGCAACGGGGAGTTTGAGGCGAGGTGGAAAAATCAGCAACTTGTTGTTAACTTGAAGAAAAAAAAGAATTGTACTTGCAGAAGGTGGGATCTGACTGGAATCCCTTGTGAGCATGCCATTCAAGCAATTCGTAGGGCAAATCTTAAGGTATACGACTTTGTGGCTGGTTTTTACTTCAAGGACTCGTGCATAAGAATTTATGAGAACTCCATATCACCAACGGCTGGTAGAGAGTATTGGCCCTTGTCTCAACTTGGTGACGTTGGAGTTCCTCCACTTCGTGACTCTATTAAGAGAGGAAGGCCAAAGAAAGCTAGAAGAAAGGAAGCTGGTGAAAAAGATTCTGGTAAGAAGAGGCAAAAGGGTCCTGAAAGAGAAGTTGCAAAACCAGTAAAGAAGAAGTATAAGTGTACTGATTGCGGAGAAGTTGAGCACAGCAAGACATTTCATCAAAACCGAGAAGCAAAGGAGTTGGCAAAGAAAAAGAG